GGTGTTTCCCTGGAACCAGTCAAGGGCCCGTCTTGACGCTCTGCTGTGTGTGGGCTATGGGGTCGGGGAGTTGGGAGGCTGGGGGCCTAGGAGAATGTCAAGCTTTGGTCCGAACCCTCCCCTGGAGAAGTCAGAGCAAAGAAGCCCCAAAGTTAGATCTGACCTGGCAAGTTGTTTGACCAGCCTGAGCCTCAGTTTCCCTGGCAGGTCGTCAAAAGGGCTGAGCATTTGCTTCCAGTGTAAAATATACACACAAACGTGCTGGGAATTTATAGATTTGAGGTTGGGAGCCCTGCACGGCCACATGAGTGCCAGAAGGCGGAGGGAGGCACTTTGAGTCTGGAGGAAGGAAGGGCTTTCCAAACAGAGAAAATAAATAGCACGGCAGAGCCTGGGAGGCAGGGCGGGTGCTGGGCACGAGCAGAGAGACCGGGAGGCTGGCTCCAAGTGGGAAAGACCCGAGGCCGTGGGGGGGCGTGGCCCAGGGTGGCCTGGGTCCCTGGTGGAGAGGTCACAGGCTGCCTGTTCCAGGGGCAACCTGGGCTCCTTGCAGCTGGAGGTGCGGCTGTGGGACCAGACGGTGCTGCCCTCCGGCTGCTACCAGCCCCTGGTGCAGCTGCTGTGCCGAGAGGTGAAGCTGGGCTCGCAGGTGAGGGGGCCCTGGGGGAAGAGGGGAGGGTCTAGCGGCCAAAGGCTTGTCCTCCTTGTCCTTCTAAACCCTTTCTGCAGAGCAGAAAACTGAGGTTTCAGGATGTAAGGAGGCGGCCAGTGGCCTGGGGCCGCGGCCAGTGGCCTGGGGTCCCGGCCAGCCCTTAGGAAAGCAGCCCCTTTTCCTGTGGCGCTCTGAGGTCCTCAGAGTGAAGGGCTTGGGTGCCCCTGGGCCTCTCCCAGCCCGACCTCGCTGCCGCCTCCTGCAGAGCCCAGGGCAGCTGATCCCACTCATCGAGGAGACAACCAGCACCGAGTGCCGCCAGGATGTGGCCACCAACCTGCTCAAGCTCTTTCTGGGGCAGGGGCTGGCCAAGGACTTTCTGGACCTGCTCTTCCAGCTGGAGCTGGGTCGCACCAGTGAGGCCTGGGAGGGAGTTGGGGCCAGGGCAGAGAGAGGGGAGGTCCTCCTGCAGGAGGCAGATGGGTGGAGCAGGAGGGAGGTGACGGACCCGCCAAGGGCAGAGGCGGGACAGTGGGCTGGGAGGTGGCAAGGAGGCCCTTCACTGAGGGGTGGGCTTAGAGCCCCCAGCCCCAAGGTCCTCTGTCCTCCTTCCCCCAAAGCCTTGTCCCGGCTCCTCCCCACTGGAACCTGTGCTTGCAGGTGAGGCCAACACCCTCTTCCGGAGCAACTCTCTGGCCTCAAAGTCCATGGAGTCTTTTCTGAAGGTGAGCGTGCGTGGTGTTTTGTCCTCGTTTTGTAGGTGACGCTACGGTTCAGGGGCCAGCAAAGTTGGCGCTGAAACTCCAGTATCCGGTCTGGCGTCCAGGGCCCTGTAAGGCTGAGAGTTTCATTCATTCATTCCCTTGTGGAGAAGCAGTCTGGCCAGCTGCCCCGCGTGCGTGCCCGGCCGCTCCCTGGGCAGACGCCGCAGGCAGATGGTGCAGGGGGGCCTGGGGAGGCCGCTGCTGGGAGACGCGCGCTGCCGGGGTGGGGGGACGGGACCGATGCAGGCCGCGGGCGTCCCCAGGTGGCGGGGATGCGGTATCTGCACGGCGTCCTGGGCCCCATCATCGACAGGGTGTTTGAGGAGAAGAAGTACGTGGAGCTGGACCCCAGCAAAGTGGAAGTCAAGGACGTGGGGTGAGGCCGGGGCTAGTCCCGGGGACGCGGCGAGGGGGCGGGAGCGGCCGGGCCGGCCTGCGGGTTTCCTCTCTCCCTGGG